TCCCCTCCCCCGCCCCTGCCCCTCCTCCTCCTCCTCCTCCTCGCCTCAGCCGCGGCCTCAGCCTCAGCCTCAGCCTCAGCCTCAGCCTCAGCCTCAGCCTCAGCCTCAGCCTCAGCCTCAGCCTCAGCCTCAGCATCATCATCATCATCATCATCATCATCATCATCATCATCATCATCATCATCATCATCATCATCATCATCATCATCATCATAATCATCATCACCACCATCATCAGCATAATCATCATCAGCAGCATCAACAGCATCAACTACATCAACAGCATCATCATCATCAGCATCATCATCATCATCTTCATCATCGTCATCGTCATCGTCATCGTCATGAGCATGAGCATGAGCATGAGCATGAGCATGAGCATGAGCATGAGCATCATCATCATCATCATCATCATCATCATCATCATCATCATCATCATCATCATCATCATCATCATCCTAGGCCTCCTCCGGACCCCGTCCCACGACGCTAATTACCCGCGCAGCCGCCCGCACTATTCCTCTTGTTCCTCTTCCTATATCTTTACAAGCCTGGGCGGGGGACCCCCCCCCCAACACCGGACTCCCGGGATCTGCGGCTTTGGGACCCTCCAGACGGGCCTCGAAGCGGCCCCCCGGGCCTCGCAGGGCGTTTTGCCAAGCCTTCCCAGCACACCTGGGGCGATCAGGGGGGTCATCGGAGACGTCCCAGAGACCCCCAAGACAGCACAAGAGCGCTCCAAGAGTGACCGACGTGACCTCAAGATGGCCCAAGAGGCCTCCAGGACGGCCCCAAACGCATCAAAAAGCCTCCAAGAGCTCTCCCAAGAAGGCCCTAAGAGGCAACAATCATTGATTTGCTGTGGGAATTTGGCGAATTTTGTGGTTCTCCTCTTTTTGGCTTCCCAACGCTCCAATATGGCAGTCTTCTGGGCGTCTGAAGCCGCCTGGGAGGCTCCAAAATCGCCCCACAAACATCCGAAAGGGCTTCTAGGCAGTCCAAGAGAGCCCCAAACGGCACAACAGGGGTCAAAGATGGCCCTAAGAGAGCCCCATGGCGGCCCAAGACGGTCCCAAGACACCCTCCGAAGCATTCCAAATCGTGACCCGGTCGTTCAGCGAGACCGCGGTTGGAGGCAGGGTGGCCCGAGGAAACCCCCAGAACCTCCAGAACACGCCCAGGAGGCTTCCAGAAGGCCTTAAGAAAGCCTGAAACTTTTGCGAGGCCCCCAGAGGCTCTCCAAGGAGGAGCCTCCACAAAAAGAGCTGAGGAGGGTGGGGAATATGCGCAGGGTATGGCGAGAATGAAGAAAAATAAGCATGGAGGACGGATAACGAATCACATTCTTATAGCGGCGATGCTGGACAAGGCAACAAGGAGTTATCGTTAAATAGTCGGCTTGACCTTTCTGCAATTCCGCCTGCATGCCAAACTTCAAGGACTAAGGTGCATGGCGCGAAGCGCCACTGCAGTCTTGCACACACACAACACACACAACACACAACACAAACAGCACACACAACACACACACACAACACACAACGCACACACACAACACACACAACACACACAACACACACAACACACACAGCCGACACACACACACAACACACACAACACACAACACACACAACACACACAACACACAACACACACAACACACAACACACACAACACACACAACACACACAACACACAACACACACACAACACACACACAACACACACAACACACACACACAACACACACAACACACACAGCACACACAACACACACAACACACAACACACACAACACGCACACAACTCACACGCAACACACAGAACACACACAGCACACAACACACACAACACACACAACACACACACACAACACACAACACACACACAACAACCACAACGCACACACAACACGCACAACACACAACACACAACACACAACACACAACACACACAACACACACAACACACACACAACACGCACAACACACAACACACAACACACACCACACACACACCACACACAACACACACACACACACACACACACACACACACACACACACACACACACAACACACCACACACACTCAACACACACACAACACACACAACACACACACACACACCACACCTCTCACACAACACACACCACACACACCACCACACACAACACACACAACACACACACACACCCAACACACACAGACACAGACACAGACACAGACGCAGACACAGGCACAGGCACAGGCACAGGCACAGGCACAGGCACAGGCACAGGCACAGGCACAGGCACAGGCACAGGCACAGGCACAGGCACACACAGACACAGACACAGACACAGACTCAGACTCAGATGCAGACGCAGACACAGACACAGACACAGACACAGACACACACACACACACAGACACACACACACAGACACACAACACACACAGACACACACACACATATACATACAAGACTCTGTGCTGTCTTGGGGGTCTCTGGGACGTCTCCGATGACCCCCCTGGTCGCCCTAGGTGTGCTCGGACAGCTTGGCAAAACGCCCTGCGAGGCCCGGGGGGCCGCTTCAAGGCCCGTCCGGAGGGTCCCAAAGCCCCAGATCCCGGGAGTGCGGTTTTTTGGGGGTGGCGTGGGGGGTTTTCCCCCGCCCGGGCTTTTGAAAATATAAGAAGAGGAATACACATGCAAATACATGTACATCAGCCACCGTGCATGCACGGAGGGGACGTATTAGAATCGTCCACCTCTGTCTGGCAAGGTTGTCTTAGTGCATTTGCAGGGCCACCCCTTCCGAACCACGCATTGTTTGGACATCTCCCCCTCGCTCCAGGGCCAGTGCTGGACAATTGTCCATACTAAACCACATGCCACACGAGGGGGCCGAAAACATGCTCCCCCAAGGGGGGTCAAAGCAGGTCACTCAGGGGTGTTCAAACAGGCCCCTCCGAGGGGCGCCCAAGGGGCGCCCAAGAGGCCCCCAGGCGGCTCCCAAGACACCCCCCACGAGGCCCCCAAGAGGTACCCAAGACGCCCCGAGAGGCTCTGAAGACCGCCGAGAGATCCCCAAGACGTCCCAAGAGGCCGCCAAAAAACCCCCAAGGCGCCCAAAGAAGCCCTCAAGAGCCGCCGGGAGGCCCCACAGACGCCCCGAGGGGTCTCCAGAGAGGCCCCCCCCAGGAGTCGCCAGGGGGCCTCCAAGACGCTCCCAGGGGCTCGCACGGAGACCCCAGAGGACCTCCCAAGAGACTCCGAGAAGCGTCAACGGAACGTCTGGCCCACGGCGGCCCCCCTCAGCTCCCCAAGCGAGGGAGGAGGAGGAGGAGGAGGAGGAGGAGGAGGAGGAGGAGGAGGGCATAGCGACTTGACGCCCTGGCTTGCGCAAGTCGCCACCACGGCACGCCACGCCGCGGCACGCATCTCGGCTCGCGCAGGGCGCCTGCGCGCGACCCTGTGCGGGCAGCCTGCGCGCCAGCCCTGGTGAGTACGGCCCCGCTGGCAGCCGCCGCTCCAAGGATGCCACGCTTCCCCGAGAAGGGAAACTCCACTGGACGTCGTGCCTGAATGAGCTGGTGGGGGTGGGGGTATCTTTTTTGGGGGTCGCGGCCGCGGGCGAGAGCGCACACGGCGAGTCGTAAGTCCGGGGCGCGGGCCGACTAATCGACAACAGGAGCAAACTGGAGCCGCACACCTAAAGGAGGTGGGAATACGCGAAGCATTCACAGTTCGAGCTCCTTCATTCTGCGCTGTTGCAGAGGCACGGTGGCGGAACTTGCCGCAGACAGCTGGACACAGTCTACCGATCTATGTAAACATGTATACACGGATGTATCCATGAACATCTAAATATAATGCATCCCTTCCTTCCTCTCTCCATTTCTCTCCTCTCTCTCTCTCGGAATAACCACAGTCGGTCGTCGTCTTCAGCCTGCGACTCCAGGCCCTCCAACGTCGCGACTTTCCTTCCACGACGTGGACCTACAAAGGTCTGGGCCCGTCCCCGTGGGCTCGTGTTTCCATCCCGTGCCGCTTACTGACAGTCACGGGGCCCGGTAAGGGCCCATGAAGGCACGATGGATGGTTTTTGAGAAGCGCATCGATGCAACTCTTTTCCTGCAGCGCGACATGTTGTCAACGTTTGTCATGCAGAAGCATCTTGGCTGTTACGCTCTCCCAGGAACGCTGCGCCTGCGTGGCGCGAGCACAGAGTGAACGCATGCCGACTTAGGCCTGCAAGCCAGCGAAAAGTACGCCTGGCGGGCGTGCCAGAGAGCAAATTGGCGCAGGAGGGGAAGAGAAAGACAATGAGCCCACAAGGGCACAGAGTACAGTCAACCCGCGTAAGAAGGGGGAGCAACTTTCCAAGGCTACCCTTGCCACTTCTTCTTCGGCCCATCCTTGGCAACTTTCGCTGGCCAACCCTACTCGAGAAACGCCAACATGGCTTTCCAAGGTACTTGCATCCTCAATCGAAAAAAAACACGCCGTTAACATAAACTTTTGGCGCTCCGCGCGGATCTCTTGGATCTGCGCTGGACCCCCCTCTCTGACGCGCGGAGCGCGCCAAGGGCGGCGCCGGAAACGCCACCAGGGGGGCCCGAGCGCAGATCCAAGAAATCCGCGCGGAGCGCTCAAAATTTATGCCCATGGCGATTTCTTTCTTCTTCGAATCCTTAGAGCGCACCCTGATCATACGGGTTGACTGTATAGGCCTGCAACGCGTAGAAGTCAGGTCTCCTCCTTCGCTCCCCCTCCGCCTCCTCCCCCGTCCTCCGTCCTCCGTCCTCCGTCCTCCGTCCTGCCTCCTCCCTCCTCCCTCCTCCCTCCTCCCTCCTCCCTCCTCCCTCCTCCCTCTCTCCTCCTCCTCCTCCTCCTCCTCCTCCTCCTCCTGGCTCGTACCTGTTTTTTTTTCTCCTCCTCCTCCTCCTCCTCCTCCTCCTCCTCCTCCTCCTCCTCCTCCCCCCGCTTCCGCCGACGCCCGGAGGCAGAGGCGCCACGCCGGCGGGGAGAACGCGTCCGCGCCCAGAGGCGAGCACGCCGGCAGCGGCACGAAGCCGTTGAGGAGGCACCGGTCCTGGCCGCCGTCGTCCGGGTCTTTGTGATCGTCGTCTTCGCCGCCGCCGACGGGTGCGTTTCGGCGGTGCATCGCACGACGCCTCAGCCCACCCTCGAGACGACGACGAAGCGTGCGATGCGGCCCCTCGCGCTACCCTGCCCCGAGACTCCCATGCCCACGACTCCCCTCCTTACCCCCCTCTCGACGTCCCCTCGTGGAGGGTGCGTTTCGCCAGCGCCCTCCGCGACGCCTACAACTCCCCTGCCGACGAGCCCCACGACGCGGCCTTCGTGATCTTCTTGATCTTCGCGATCGTCGTGGTTCTTGTCAGGCCCCGGGGGGAAACCGAGAGGTACCGATATCGCTGATACCGCGAGGTTCGATCGGACCGGGGCCCCGAGGCGGATCCAGCCGTGGCGACGAGGGCCTCCCGGGAGGCCGAACAGCGGGGCAGACGAGCGAAGGGGGTAGCAGTATCAGTGCCTGATCCTCCTCTGAACCCTGAGGACGTCGCTGAGGGGGGCCTTCGTCGTCGTAGTGGCCTTCGTCCTCGTCGTCTTGGACGCCCGAAATGGGTACTGTCCGGTGAGCATGGGTACGATGCCCAACAACGGATGCTGTCCCAAACCGACTGCGGCCGTTGTTGGGCAGGCGACTTCTTGTCTCAAGTGGGCACTGGCCGCAGCATCGCCAACAGCGAACCCTGTTCACAACGAACAAGAACTGCCGTTGGATGTTGTTCCCATTGTTCTCGTATCCATCTCGATCATGCCGAATCGTGGTCTTCATGATCGTCGGCTTCGTCGTCGCCGAGGGTTGAACGGGGATCGACCGTCCTGGCATTCCTACAGGCCTACCACGACTTGTTCTTAGAGCAAGCGAGCTTGTCTAACAACATGAGCGATGCTCTTAGAACGTGAAGCCGACGCATGAAAAGAAGATGGCGATCTGAGCCTGACATGCTCCCGAAACAGTTCGTCGTGCAGCACACCCGAGATTCTTGGAACATTCGCTGCTGGGCCTGATCTGGCCATCGCTCGGACGTCCATTCCCTGTGTTTTTTTCGGTTTCGTGCGTGTCGTTTTCGCCAAATGATCAAGGATGCTCCTCGATGGCCCTCGCCGAGAAAAAATGCACAGGTCCGAGCGATGCCAGGTGATTCCAACCCAGGACGCCTCGCCACTGCTTGCGAGGGGGGCCCTGGAGGCGCGAGCCCTGGAGGTCTGGACCGCTTCCCCGGGGCCGCCTCTTCGCCCTGCGCCGCCCACCGGCGGCCCCGAAACCCGGCGAGGGCCCCCAGAGGCCGAAAACAGCCAAAGCCGCCCGGCCCTCCGCCTCCTCCTCCTCCTCCTCCTCCTCCTCCTCCTCCTCCTCCTCCTCCGTCCTCCGTCCTCCGTCCTCTGTCCTCCGTCCTCCGTCCTCTCCCTGACTCCTCCTTCCCTCCTCCATCCTCCCTCCCCTCCTCCTCCTCCTCCTCCTCCTCCGTCCTCCGTCCCCCCCTCCCTCCTCCTCCTCCTCCTCCCTCCTCCCTCCTCCTCCTCCCTCCTCCCTCCTCCTTCCCTTCTCCCTCCTCCCTCCTCCTCCTCCTCCTCCTCCTCCTCCTCCTCCTCCTCCTCCTACTCCTACGTCGGCACGAGCGCATCATTTTGTTGCGGACTCGAGCCGGGGCCTCTCACTTCCAAGTAGTGCATGAGGGGCAGCGAACCACCTGCCCGACCCCAGTCCAGCGCTCTCGCTTGCAAAGAGAGGCTCAACATCTTAGCATCATGGCGGCCACATTCAGTGCGTGGTCCGCATGCAACGCGTGCGGCACTCATGAGTGGAACGATGATTTGCAGGCCAACGGATGCAATTACATGAAGTGCTCTCGGCAGGTTCCACTGCACAAGAGCAGGAGCAGCAGCGACCAGGGCACGGCGCGCGACCTCGTGGACACAAGCAGGGCGCAGCCCACGGTCCAAGGGCTGCTCGCGCGGGCAGCAGCTATCACCAGGAGCCCCGCGCTGAAGCAGGTGCTGGCGCCGCACGCGCAGGCGCCCGAGAAGGGCGCGCAGCCGCCGACCGAGGCCTCGACCTCGGCGGGCGAGGCGGTGCGGCGTGCGGAGGGAGCCTGGAAGCAGGCCTCCCCTCGGCGCGAGCAAGCGGCAGCCCAGGCTTGTGGATGCCACGGCAATGGACACTCTAACCATCCTGCCGTTGAATTGAAGAATGTGTTTAAACTGTGTCCGGCATGTTCTAAACGTGCTTCAAACTTTTTTGCGTGCTTCAACAATGTCTGGAACATGATTTAGACTTCAGACACCTGGGAATTATGTGGCAACACGCCGCCTCTCCATTGAACTCGACTTCCACAAGCCTGGGCCTCACGGTGTCAAGCGAGCCCGGCCCAGGCCCAGCTGCGCGAGGCGGAGGCGGCGTGAAGGCGCTGGCGCGGCCACCATCAGCGGGCGGGTGGCCGCGCGGGCTCTCTCGCCAGCGGGACGGGCGCCGCGCGCGCCGCCGCCTCGCCCACGCAGCAGGAGGGTTCTGGCAGAGGCTCGCCGTCCAAAGGGCGTCGGCGGCGGTGGCGAGGGCCCTCCTCTCATCGGCCTGAGCTGCGACGTCAGCATCTTCGACGAGGATGGCCTGGAGTGTCTAGGAGGAGGAGCAGAGGCTCATGGAGCCATTCGGGGCAGGTAGGTTCGCAGCAGGCGAAGGCCAGCTTCGCGCCCAGGCCCGAGGAGAGCTGCCAGCGGAAGGCCTCAGCAGTTGACCTCAAGACGAGGAGGAGGAGGAGGAGGAGGAAGGAGGAGGAGGAGGAGGAGGAGGAGGAGGGAGGAGGAGGTGGTGGTGGTGGTGGTGGTGGTGGTGGTACTCAGCATCTGGTCAAGTCAGCAATGCATATCCCATTCCATGTGACCGCTGTGCGCATAGAGAGGGCAGATCCCCTCGCGAAACTCGACAGTCGGCACTCCCGTCGCGACTAGATTTCTGCCGGAACGTCTGCAGAAGAAGAGGACGACCGAGGCCGCGGATGGAACACCACGCGAAATGGTTAAGAAATCATGGGTTAAGAAATTCATGGTCTCAGAACTTGAACAAAAACCCAAGATTTCTATCAAAATCTTAAGATTTACATTGAAACGTTAAGAATAATCGAGACTCTGGCCGAAAACTTAAGTTTTCTTAAGCATCGCCTGAGGTGTACCACGGCAGGCGCCTCCGACGGCGCCCCCGGCCGCGACTCCCGCGGGAGCGCCCGCGGCACCTCCAGCGGAGGAGGTCGACGGGGCGTGCGCGGGAGGCCCGTGTGGCCAAGGAGGCGGGCGGGCGCGGGGCAGCGGCGGCGGCAGGGCCCCCGCGGGCGCCTCCGCCTGCCGCGGCCGCGGCGGCCGCCGCCGCGTGCTCGGGAGAGGCGGCTGGAGACGCGGCGACCCCTCCAGCCAGCCTCGCCGCAGGGTCGCAAGACGCATGTGGCCGCGTCCACCAGCGCGCGGAGGCGCCGGGGAGCGAGGACAGCGGCGGCGGGGACCGCCCCATGCTCTTCGCGGACGTCACCGTGCTTGGGAAGCAGTCGTGGGTCTCTACCTCGGGCGTGGAGACGTGCGGGAGAAGTGCCAGTACATGGGCATCGTGGAGCCCCGCGCGCAGGGGGGGTGGGCCCAGTCGCAGCGAGTGGGCTCGCAATGTGCAGGGGCCACGAGGTGGCGCTGCTCAGACAACGGTGCGCGCGGCTCGGGAAGGGGGGGGGGGTCCGAGGCGGCGCGCGGAGAGGGCCACGGAGGGCGGGGTGGTCATTCCCGGCCCCCGCAGCTGCAGGCACGTGCGGCGCCTCGCGGGGAAGGCGCGCGACCTTCCCTCCTGCTGCGCAGCGGGCAGCGACCCCCTTCGACGGCTTCGTGCCCGTCGGCGTGCACCAGAATGGCGACTCCTGCGTGAGCATCATCATGTGCGGGCTCTGCCCAGCATCGGCTTCTTCGGCCTCATGGCTCCCTCTGAAATGTTGCAGGGTTTGGTGATCTACTCTATCAACAGTATGGTGGCAATCAGCATCCTCATGAAGAGGGATCTCGAAAGAGGAAACGGATCCCCGTCCAACACACACACATACACACACCCAAGACAACTGTGTAGAGTGTGGTTTGGTGGCAGTCGACCTGCTCATGAAGAGGCATCTGGAAAGAGACAGATGAGGAGGCGGAAGAGGAGGATGTGACATGGTGTGTGTGTGTGTCGACAGAGCATGTTTGGTCATGCGGGAGGGCTACAGTATATACATATATATATGTGTACATAGATAAGTTTATCAATGCAGACACACGTACGCGCTTGTGTATGTACGAGTGTGCATAGTCTGCATATGTAAACATATATGCATCTTGAGCAGTAAGGTGTAACTGCAGCGTCACTCGATACCTGCTGCCAGGAGGTGGCAGTGGAGATTGAGCTTAAGCGAAAGGGTGGACCCGTTCAGGAGACCGATCATCATCCAGACGGAAGGGAGCAAGGGCAAAGAGCGTCCGAAATGTGATCTGAGCAAGGCGCGGCCGCTCCTGGTTGCTCACCGCCCAGCTGTCCAGCGGCCTGGGGGCGAGACAAGCCATGAGAGCTCGCGCCAAGCGCCTTGCTGCCGTGGCCGCAGAGAAGAATAACCATCTGGAGTTCCGGGCCGTCCTGGGTTCTGCGGGGGTTAGTCAGACCCCCCCCTGAGTTCTAGGGCGTTTCCAGCTGATTCTCTGGACGGTGTGCCCGCCCAGAACGACCTCCCGAACCCTCCTGTGCGTCGTGCGTCCAGGAAGGTTCCGATCCGCCCAAAGATCGCTCCGAGAATGGCCTCTGGACGGCCCAAGAGGCCTCCAAGACGGCCCAAGAGGCCTCCAAGAGCTCTCCCAAGAGAACCCTGAGAGGGCACGAATCACGAGAACCCCGAGAGGGCACGAATCACATATATATATATATATATATATATATATATATATTGATAAATATACATTCTTTGCTGGCAAATGTTGGTACATCCCGACGCTCCAAGACGGCCCCAAATGCCCCCGGGATTGCCACAAGAGGGTGCCGTGACGGCCCCGAGAGGGCCTCACGGTGGCCAAACAGGCCTACCAGCTGGCCCAAGAGAATCCCAAGAGCGCCCGCCCCAAGAGGGATACCAGGGGGGGTAGCAGGGCCGACCGTTCGAGCTCTCCGCTTCAAGAGGCTCCCAAAAGGCCCCCAGGATGCCCAAATGCTCCCGAGAGGCCCCAACAGGCCCCCACGGGGCCCCCAGGAGGCCCCCAAGGGGCACCCAAGAGACCCCCCAGGAGGCCTCCAAGAGGCGTCGAGACTGCCCCCCGAAGGCCACCGAGAGCCCACCGAAGAGACCGTAGGACATGTACATAAGGACTTTGGCCCACAACTCCGGCACGGTGGCGGGATGTGACAAAGGCCACTCGATCTCTGGAGGGCCAGGCAGACGTACTTTCCGTTTGCCTCCTGGCAAAGAGAGGACGGGAGGAGTGTGAGAGGAGACGTGTGTGAAGATGACTGGACCAGCTGGAGGAGGGCTGCATTTCAAGATAAATCCAAAGGGAAGAGGACGAGAACGAATATCAGATGAGGGGGAGGAGCAGTTGGAGGCACTTGCGCAACACAGCGTGCAAGAAGAGAGGCAAGATTAGAGGAAGGTGGGTCTCACATTCCCGAGCAGATGGTCGATGAACCAGCTGTGCCCGCCGCTACCTCGCGCTCCGCCCCAGCAGCAAGGCCCGTCTTGGGAGCCCCTGCGTAAAAGAACAACTTACCTTGCACTATGCGGGTTCTCGCGACCTTCCTTCGAGGGGTTCGAAAAGATAACGGCAAGCTGACGCCCGTCAACGGTAGCTGCACGACGACAATGGTGGCACACGTTGATGCTGAAACAATCCCAGAAGCGCAAACGATGAGACACCCTGAGGGCGAAACCACAAAACTCCACGGGATCCGAAGCGACCACGGCCTTCGGCCACTTTTGGACCATATCAGAGACGAGAACAAAAATACAAAACTCGAGCAACGTGCCCCATGTTGAAAGGTCACCGTAACTGGAACATCTGCAGCGCCTGCTGCACTTGGAAATACTGGGATGAACTTGATGACTGGGGAGGTGAGCCCCCAGAACTCAACAAAGTCAAGGCCCATGTCACGGAGGGCATGGTGGAAGCGGGGGTGCGTATGAAGAGGCCTATGGGGGGGAATGGCGCTGCTACTAGGAACCGAGCTAAGGATGAGCGGCCGCTACCCCATGTGCTGAAGCTCCTTCGCACGCAGAAATGTCTCGTTTCGCCCACTGCTAAATGGATTGCCAAAGCTGGCGAGTCCACTGCTGAAATAGATTCGCTGCACATGCAGCGGGCTGCGCGTTTAGACTCCACCCTTACTCTTGTCAAGCCCGAGCCGCCCACCCGAATCCAGAGGATCCAGGAGGCTCAGGTCGTTTATTGCTGCACTCACTGCGCCTCGTTCACTTCCACGCGTGTGGTGTCATTGGAAACTTCTCAGGTTCACTCTCGAACGCCTCATTCTCGAGCGCCTCACATTCTCGAGCGCCTCAGGAGAGGCGAATTCAGGTTGGGATCTCAGGTTCGTGCTGTTGCCGGTTTCGCCCTCCTCCCCCAGCCCGAGCCTCAGGATGCCCCATCCTAGTTACTGTATGATACTGTTTCTGCTGCGCCCAGCGTAAACCTTTGGTGGTCACTGTGCAGATCTCTCGACGAGCACGCAGTGGCGAAAGTGGCCCCGATCAAAGGGAGCGCCACCTACCTCTGCTCTGCCTGCAGTGGAGAGACGCTGCTCGCCTCGGTGCTGCGCCCAGGAGGAGGAGGAGGAGGAGAACGATGGCGAGGAGGAGGAGGACGAGGAGGATACGGCGCTGTGGGGAAGGTCGTCGCACAGTGCGCCAAGACGCCCAACGAGAAGGAGGAGGAGGAGGAGGAGGAGGAGGAGGAGGAGGAGAACGACAACGACGACGAGGCAAAGGACGAGCATTTTCGGACTCTCCGCGTCTGCTCAAAGCGGAGGAGGAGGAGGAGGAGGAGGAGGAGCAGCAGCAGCAGCAGCAGCAGCAGCGGGAGGACGACGACGAGAAAGAGGGCAGGGAATCGAGATCGGTGACCGATCGTCAACCCGCCGAACACGGCCAGGCCAGCGTCGGTGCCTGCTGGAGACCGAGGCCGCGAGCTGCAGGTGGCGCCCGGCGCACTCCACCAGCGCGTCCCACGCCTGCGCCTGCCCGATCTCAAGAGCCGCCTCCTCGATCGCGGCCCGGCCCCACAGGACAGAGCTGGAGACCTTGTGGGGGGAGGGGGGGAGGGCTCGGGGGCCACCAGGACGGTGCGGTGACCTCACCGAGAGGTGAGCCGATGAAGAATCGGGGCCACCTCACGATCTTGGGACTCGGGTGGTTCTCCGACGACCGGGGCCTCCCAAGTCCCAAGCGCTGTCCGTGCCGTGACGCACCGTGCGAAGAGGTCGTCGGGGGCCCCGAAGGTCACCGCACGGTCTGTCACCGCACAGTCTTGGGGCCCTCAAGACGGGGGGCGGCCAAGAGGGGGGCGTTCAAGAGGGGGCGGCGCAAATCAGGGCCGGCGGCGTGTGCGCGGCCCAGGGCGGGTTGCCGGGGACGCACTGAAATAAGAAGAGGCGTCATGACATCTGGGGAGATATCATTCGGAGACGCGCAAACATGGATTAGCGATCCATGGATAAGGCGCGCGGTCACCAAATCCATGGATGGGGGGAGGTGCCCTCCCCAAACTGCCGCTGGTGGCGCCTCGTCTGGCGGCGGCAATCAGCGATTTCCTATGGAAACGGGACCCGTCGCAAATCCACGCCCGCGTAATCCATGTTTGCGATCGCCTGAACCATGGCCCCCGCCATGACATCCTCACCCCCAAGACATCACACCCCTCTTTGCCACCTCCACAAGCGGGAGAGAAGGCTGGCAACCCGGAGCTCCTCGCGCCGTGGAAGGTTCACAGCGGAGGGATCTTGGCAGACTGCGGCGTCCAAGGGTGCCTCGCGGGGCCCCAGCACCATCAGTAAAAACGTCGGGGATGGAACCAATAGGGCCCAGGGACACACAGCTAAATAGACACGAATCCCAAGACTCCGCATCTCTCCCCCTACTATCGGCTGGGTTTTCGTCGCCCCCCACCCACTTCCCACAATTTCCCACATTTTCCGGGGGATCGACGAGTCATTGTGTCCGTGTGTTTTTTCCCCTCCTCCGGAAAGCCGGTTCAGGACGGGGCGCCAAGCATCCGGCGTCTCGATTTGCTCGAGGCACGGGCCCCCGAACTCTTGGCCAGTCGTCCCGTGCCCTCGTCCCACGCCGTTTTTCTTGATGGTCCCGAGGCCCAACAAGGGCCCCCCCGAGGGATCGAACACTATGAACAACCTCCGCCTCGATTTGTTCGAAACGCTGGACATCTGGGATGAGGACGCCTGAAGTAGACAAGCGCGTTCCACTACTCGCAGAGTAGCTACTGGCAAATGGCCTGGATCCACTGCATCGAAGCGAACAGGCTCCATTGCATCCAACAAGACTTGATGTTTGGACGTTTGCGAGTAGGCACTTCGCGGGTAGGAGTCGGACCCAGGCCAGAGAAGAACATCCCTCAAGAACATGAGACCCTCCGTCGACCAAGACAGACAGAGCATCCAAGGGTGCGCCCCCCAGGATGCACAAGAACATCCAACAAACACGAAGAGCACGAGGGTACCCTCCCCGAGCCGACCTCGATCTTATACCTCGGTCCGACGGTATACCCCCAGAAGGGGGTATAAACTTTAATTTACTTTATGCCGTTCTCCGCCTCTAAGCATAGACATAGAGCTTGTAAGCGGAAGGGGGCTGTGCGCTGTTTGACGAAGAGCACAAGGGGGTTAGGGAAGGGGGGAAGGCTTCTTAGAAGGAGGCTGCTTCGAAAAAGCCCTCCCCCCGCCCCCTACCGCCCTTTGCGCATGGCTGACTGTACGGATCCTAAGAGCATTTGCCAAGAAGGGTGGGACGAGGGCAAACCCGCTCAAAGACGGTCTCTGGACAACTGCGGGGGTCGAAAACAACCCGTTTTTCGGGCCGCGTCCAGCCGTGGCGACAAGGGACCCTCTTTCTCCCGCATTGCTGCTGGCCAGAAGCAATGCTGGGCCACCTCTTGAATAACTAACCAAGGCATAGCATAAGCCCTTGGAGATCCGCGCGGATCTCTTGGATCGGCGCTGGAAACCCCTCCTTGGCTCGCGGAGCGCGCCAGGGTCGGCCCTGGAGGCGCCGCCAGGGGGCCTCCAGCACCGATCCGAGAAATCTGCGCCGTACCCTGAGGCCGTTAGCTAGGGAGCCCAGAAAGGACGTACGCGCCCGGCTGTGCACATGAACACGGCCCCTCGATTCGCGAGACCGGCCGCGTTATACGAACATTTGTGCTATGCGTGCTCTCGAAACCAGCGTGGATTCATGTACGGTAGGTTTGCGCGGCGTCGACGCGCGCAAAGGTTTTTGACACCACGTCGATCGTTCAACCTTGAATCGATCGCGGCCCCGATCGTTCAAGGTTGAATTCCGTCGGGCCCAACGGCGTTACAGTGTCCCTCGGTGCTTGAGCGTCGTTCTATCATGAGGCGTTCAACCTTGAACGCCTTCGCCGGCGTCGCGGGCGCGCCATCGCCGCACGAACCTACCGTACATATACGTCCTTCTTTCGCTCCTGATTAGCGTGGTCTTGGAAGGAAGGCCGACGGGGTGCAGGAGGGCCCAACTGTAGGGGCGCGCAGGCGGAACTTCGCGAGGCGGCGCCGGCCCCTCGGCTGGCTGTCTCAGACGCCCAGACGAGCGACCAAAGGGGTCTTGACGCGAGATGGCATGCACGGAGGAGGAGGAGGAGGAGTGAGGAGGAGGAGGAGGAGGAGGAGGAGGAGGAGGAGGAGGGAGGAGGAGGAGGGGGGTAGGAGGGGGGGAGGAGGAGGGGGGGAGGAGGGGGAGGAGGAGGAGGATGAAGCGGAGGAGGAAGGACGAGGGACGAGGGACGAGGGAGGAATGAGGAAGCAGCCTTCTTGAACCGGTGGTCTGGCAGGCCCTGTTGGAAGCGAGCATCTTGCTGCATCAGATCAGTATCAGTCGGCCCCTGGTTCCAAGACATCTCCAAGACGAAGCCAGGACCAAGATAAATCCCACCAGCCCTTTGGGCGTGAGTGGTTTAGCGAGCTCTCTCTGTCCTCAACCCCCCATCTTCCCCTTCGGGGAAGGGTTTACCCCTCCCCCTACCCAGAGGGTCCGCGGGCGCCACGCATGCCTAAGCCTTAAGCATGCCCCGGAGCCGCATGCTTAAGGCTCTACATGGCCACAGCGAAATGTGTGTTTTTCAAGCGGTATATAAATTATTATGTGTTCGGCTAGATTTTGTACCGCGTTGCGTAAACATTTGCGTTGGCATGCCTGATGTATACACGCGCTGGCGTTATTGTAGTATGAGAACGCATCTCCGATATCAAGTAATTTCAGTTTAACGCGCCTGGGTTGCCCATGTGGGAAGCGGAATTTGAAAAACAAAGGCAAGAGGAAAGGAAGACGACGAAGAGGAAGAAAAAAAGTGAAAGAGGAAGAGAAACAGAAGGCAGAGGAGTAAACCGAGGAGAAGGAGGAACACGAGGCAGAGGAGGAGGATCAGAGAAGAGGGGGACCAAGAGGACCGATATCGCTTCCAAGTGTGAACCCTTTGGCGTCCCAGCGGCTGGATTCGCGTCGCAATTTTGGAGAACGCGCCACGAGGCTTCGAAATCAGCGATATCGATCCTCGGAGCCGCCGTCGTCGTCGACGTCTTGCACGTTCCGACCTTGACGTTTCCAGAGTGATCCCAGCCGCGGCGACGAGGTGGCTCCCGCGGCAGCACGCTCACCCCTCGCCCGACGACGCCGACTTCAGGGTGCGCGTTCTGATCAAAATTTCGAGGCGATCTCAACCGTGGCCGCTATCACCGCCTTCCGTCTTGGAAGCGGCAGCCCTTTGAACCCATGGCCCCCCCTTCCACCCCTCTTCCCTCCACAGCCGTTTTTGGCTGGAGCGGTTTCAGGGGAGAGCAGGGGTCGACCAAAACGATGTTATGGCGTTCTTCCTCCTCCTCCTCCTTCTCCTCCTCGTCCTCCTCAACCTCCTCCTCTCCTCCTCCTCCTGCTCCTCGTCCTCCAACCTCCTCCTCCTCCTCCTCCTCCTCCTCCACCTCCTCCTCCTCCTTTTCCCCCTCCTCCTCCTCCTCCTCCTCCTCCTCCTCCTCCTCCTCCTCCTCCCCCCCGGGGCAACTCAACAAACGCAAAACGTTGATTTGGTCGATCCCGAACGGAAACCGCCCTCCAAGATGGAGGCCAGTGGCCCCCCCCGCTCGGTGCCCGCGCAACGAGAGGCGCTCATGGCGGCACTGAGCGCGGGGTGCACTCCAGAGCTCATCCAGACGGCCGAGCGGACCAAGGAGCTGTTCCGTGTGGCCAACGTCGTGCACGATGGCGCGGTCAAGGCCCGAGGAGGAGAATGAGAAAGAGGAGAAGGATGAGGAGAAGGAGGAGGAGAAGGAGGAGGAAGAAGAGGAGGAGGAGGGAGAAAAAGGGAGGAGGGAGGAGGGAGGGAGGAAGGAGGAGGAAGGAGGGATGAGGAGGAGAAGGAGGAAGAGGAGGAGGAGGAGGAGGAGGAGGAGGAGGAGAGCCCAGGTGACCGCCACTGACCTGAAGAATAACTTCCAGGTGCTGCGGGCGATCTTGACGAAGATCCAAGGACAGTTCTGTCCGAACCCTCCTTGCCCGTTCCTCCACGTATGAGCCGTATCCTCTTCCTCCTCCTCCTCCTCATCCTCCTCCTCCTCTTCCTCCTCCTCCTCCTCCTCCTCCTTCCCCTCATCCTTGTTCTCTGCCTCCTCGTCCTCTTCCTCTTCCTCACCCTCCTCCTCCTGTTCCTCATCCTTCTCCTCCTCTGTACCTTACCATCTTGAAAACATGAGATATCGTGAGATACCGTTCGCCCTCAAACACGAACTGTATCTCACCAATTGGTATTCGATCAGGAGTGCAGCCTCCGAGCGACGTGTACGCGATGGCCATTCACGACTTCGACGGCTGCTCGGAGTGGGCCATCGGAAGGACTCAACCATTCGAGCGCGAGGACGGGTCGACCTCGTCGAAGTGGTCCGTTTACGAGGGGATCGTGGCGCATTCTCTGGTGAGCTACGCGTTCAGGCTGGCTCGCGATTCGCCGAACTCCAGGGACCCTATATATTTTAATTCGGGGGTGGAGGTCTTGTTTTGTGTC